TCGATAAATGATAAATTCAAACTTTAAATGTCCCACCTACATTTACTATTAGCCTAGAAAAATACAGGAAGTATCAAACATATAGTTTTGGGACAAGACTAGGACGTATAATAAAAATGCATAGCGTTAAGCGGTTTTAACTCGTTTTTGCAACATGTGCATATTGTCAGGGTGGTCTAGTTGGACTCAGCTTGCCCTAAGCTATTTGCTATAGCAGTTATGATAATTCCCAGCGTCGAACCGTGGGCTTGGTACATTCTCAGACGTTTCACCGGCATCGTTAATGAGTCTTGCCAGCCTTAGCTCCAAATTAAAACCCGTCAGAGACAAGTCGAAGATATGAAGAACAGGATAATGTGGCCGTTTGTATGGTCGCGATCTCCTTTCGTTGTATAGAAGTTATTTAATCTTGTTTTCGCAACTTGGTAATATTAGCAGGAAGACCTAGAGAAACGCACTTGTCCGGAGTCCATAGTCGGACCGTGTACTTGGTACATTCTCAGACGTTTCGCCGGCATCTTCAGTGAACCTTGCCATTCTTAGCACCACAGTACAACTCGTCAAAGAGACAAGTGAAGTCGATCCCTTGACCAAATGTGTGCTAAACAGTTGTGGTATCTCTCTTTCTGTCATTGCCTATTCACCTATCCTATTTCCTCGTATCACTCCTTCAATATGACTATTTCTTACTTGTTAGATCTATTTGAAATATGTTAGATCTTCACGCTGGTTTCCTCATCCCTTCCACGGTGCCAGGAGTGTTGATCCAAGGCTGAGGTTTAATCCACAATCCTTTCTTTTCGGGTCCTATCAGAATCCCCTCTTGCTCCGTAGGATTCTTCTGTTATCTGCCTATTTCAGTGATTTCACCCCATCGCTGCCACCATATCCGTGCTACTCAGGGCGTTGTTCTACACTCTGTCGCATTTGATGCTATAGACTCCCGAGCAATCCAGTTTGTAAACCTTCTCGTGTCGCGTCGACAGGCTTGTGGAGAGATCACTTTGATATCCCATTTTCTTTGCAAAGGTCCTGTCGACTGATCTAGAAATTGCGAACTTTGCTAAGAAAATGGAATATCAAAGTGATAACAAAAGAAAAGACCACATTCTTCACAAGCCTGCCATCGCAACACGAGAAGGTTGACAAACTGGATTGCTCGGGAGACTATAGCATCAAATGAGGCAACTGTGAGCAAAAGTGAGTAAAAACGAAATCAGGCCACTTGTAACTTGATTCGATTATAGTTAGGGCTCCCACATCTCTTAACCTAAGCAATCCATAGATAAAATACATAATACCACACACCCGAACAGGTGCCAACATCATAGAAGGACACCGGCTTATTTATGCAAGGAAATTGCTGTAGCCACCTCAATTTCTTTTACAAGCATCAAATCTATCCGTTTACAAGCATGTATGGTAAGCATGAAGTAACGAACCAAACTACAGAACGAAGAATCGGATATGAGTGGACCGACAGCCAGCCACCTGTTCACTTGCTTTATTTCGGTTTATCGTAAAGTATAATTTCTCGTAGATATGAAAACCAAGATGGTGTGGTATTCTGTTTGGTCGCAGTATCCTTTAGCTTTATGGTGTTAGTTCGACCTTGTTTTCACAACATGTCGAAGCGTCAAGAAAACCTTGTGGAACGTACATAGTCGAGTGTCCTCTGTCATGGTATTCGTGAGTTCCAGCATTGGACCATTGGCTGGGTACATTCCCAAGCGTTCCGTCGGAATGTTAGTTGGCATCATCAGTGAGAGGCGCCATCATAAGCACAGAATTACAACATATCAAAGTGACAAGTGAAAGCAATCCCTTTGACCAATTTTATGTTCAACAGTTGTGGCATCAATCCTCGCGCCTCTTTTTCTTTCTACCTTATAGTGCCGCGCTTCTTTCTCTCAACCTTAATTCATATGGCCCTGTCGCTACAGGTGGGTTTAGTGGAGCGTGATCATCTTCACCACCGGTACCAGATGCCGTGTGCAGAGCTCCTGCCCTCGCTTTTTTCCTACTCGCATGCGAATTGGCCGCTGCTAGACATTAAAATCACTTAGAGGAACACACCTAGTATTTATGATAATTTCCAGTCGGATCGTGGACGTGGTACATTACTACACGTTTCGCCGGCATCATCAGTGAGTCTTGCCGCTCTTAGCACCACACTACAAGCCGATCCATTGACCAAATGTGTGCTAAACAATTGTAATATCTCTCCATCTGTTATGGGCTATTCACCTATCCTATATCTTTGTATCACCCCTTCAATATCACCACTTCTAACTTGTTTATTTAGGCATATTCAAAATATATTCACACTCCCCGCTCATTTCCGCATCCCTCCCACTGTGCCAGGAGTGTTGATCCAAGGCTTCGGTTTAATCCACAATCCTTTCTTTCCGGGTCATATCAGAATCCCCTTTTACTCCGTAGGGCACACCACACTAGATTTAAATATGCAAAGAAAAAATTGTGATAGTGAAGGCGTGATACGAGGATATAGGAGAGGGGACTAGCCCGGGACTAGAGACACTACAGCTGTTTAACACACATTTGGTCATTGGATCGGCTTCACTTGTCTCTTTGACGAGTTGTAGTTTGGTGCTAAGAATGGCAAGATTCACTGATGATCCGGCGAAGCGTCTGGGAATGTACCAACTCCCCAGTCCGATTTTGGAAATTATCATGCCTACAATGGACTCCGGACTAAATGCATTCCTCTTTGTCTCCCTACCAATAAGACCAAGTTGCGAAAACAAGGTCAAGGTTCACAAGGTTTCAGTGACGCTCCAACAAGGTTGCGAGAACAAGATCGAACCAATACTATAAATCTACAGGTGACTGTGACCAAATAGAAGGCCGCACCATCTTTGTATTCATATCTACGATCTAATAAGGGTGCTAAGATTGCAGTCTATGACTTCCCATGCCCTAGTCTCTTGTGTGCCGACCT